TCAATTGATAAAAGGATAAAAGGATGCTCAAATACAGGATGCATAAGATCAAAGAGAGGGGATATTTTAATGGACAACGGGGGCGTCTTAAACAGAGGGTCAGAATACATAGAAGAACTTTTCTAAGATAATAGAGGAGAAAACCCGGTAATAAAGAATAAAATCAATGGACCACCAATACTGAAAGCAGAAGTACAAGCTGCCATTAGGAAAATGAAACAAGGAAAAGCCACAGGGCCAGATAATATCCCAGTTGAAGTGATTGTCGCGCTTGAAGAACTAGGCACTGAAATAACCACAAAGCTCCTAAATGCTATTTATGACAGTGGTGAGATCCCAGAAGATATGATGAAGTCAGTTTTTATAGCTTTACCTAAAACACCAGGTGCCTCTGAGTGTGATATGCATAGAACAATTAGCCTTATGAGTCATTTTACAAAAAATATTGCTGCAAGTAATAATGGGAAAATTGAGAAAAAGTGTAAGACCAGAGATATCTAGAACGCAATTCAGCTTTGTTCCTGACAAGGGCACCAGAAATGCTATGTTAATGGAAAGATGTACTGAAGCACAGAAAGATCTGTATTTATGCTTCATACATTATTCAAAGGCGTCTGATAAAGTTAGACATGATGAGCTATTTAAAATACTGGAAAAGCTAGACATAGATGGAAAAGATCTAAGAATTATCAGTAATTTGTACTAGGACCAAAAAGCTGCTGTACGAATTAATGGAGAATACAGTGACTATAAGCACATCAGGCGAGGATGGAGGCAAGGATGTGTTATGTCACCAGACCTCTTTAACATGTACAGTGAAACTATCCTTAGAAACATAGAAGAATGTCCAGGCCTCAAAGTAAATGGAGAAAATATTAATAACATCGGGTATGCGGATGACACAGTTTTAATAGCAGGCTCCGAAAAGGACCTTCAATTGCTTCTAGATACTGTTGTAACAGAAAGTGAACGTAAAGGATTATTGTTGAATGTAAAGAAAACCGAATGCATGGTAATATCCAAAAAAGCAGCAAAGCCTAGCTGTAATCTCATTAGCAAAGGTGAAAAGATCAAACAAGTCCAACAGTTTAAATATCTAGGATATATGATAACATCTGACCCCAAATGTTCCACAGAAATAAAAAAGAGAACTACAATGGTTAAGGCTAGTTTCAATAAAAATGAGCCCAATCCTGAAAAATAGAAACATCTCAATGAACACCAAAATGAAAGTCCTGAAATGCTATGTTTGGTCAACCCTTCTATATGGCTGTGGGAATGCTGGACAATCACTAAAGACAGTGAAAATGAAATAGAAGCAACAGACATGAGGTTTCTTAGGAGACTGCTAATAGTATCGTGGAAGGGAAAGAAATTAAACGAGGTAGTGCTTGATGAAGCCCACGTGGGACGCTCAATGTTAAAAACAATCAGGAAACGACAAATGCAGTTTTTGGGACACCTGAATAGACATAAGGGTCTTGAACATCTAGCTCTCACTGGCAAAATTGAGGGCAAGCGAGGCAGGGGTAGGCCCAGAACAACATACTTAGGAAACCTAAACAAATGGATAACTTGGAAAGATCAGGGAAACGTAGCTTTTTAGAGAGCATCCGAGCAAAGGAATGAATGGAAAACCATGATCGCCGATGTCTGTCGCAGATCTGGCACTGGATGATGATGATGATGATTTGAGGAGA